GTCCAGAGAGATGTGGAACAGTGTAGTGAACAGAGCAGTTCAAATGCTGGCATCGGGTCCACTTAGATTGCATTTCGTCTCCGCATTTGCAACCGTGAGCTAAGGCGAGAATCATACTCTGAAGTAATTGTAATAATCGTGCATTTATTAGTTTTTTGACTACTCTGCGTTCTAGTAAATGATTACGTCAGAAATAGTGAGATTCCTTCATGAAAGTACTTAATACAACGAGTCGTATGTGCTACACTTAAAAGCAGACTGAGTGTGGAGAATGTTCGGAAAAAAATATTTGGCTGTATGATTGAGAACGATCAATCCATCTGATGGTTGTTTCAAGGATTTGATCGAACGCGTAATCAAGAAATTTTCAAAAAAATATTGGCTAAGAAATGGTTGATCTTGTAATCATAAAGCCACATGCATGACATTACAGAGGATTGTATTTTTAAAGTTTTGTGTTGCTTAAGTTGGACTTTCCATTCTTCATCATCCTCTTGTTCACCCAATGAATATTTGCTATGGAGAGACCAATTTGCGGGAGTATATGCTATCGCATTGCTTCTGGATTATAACAACCTCTCCTCGTTAAGATGTTACTCCTGTCCGCTATGAAAAAAAAGCAAAAAAAGAAAAAAAGTAATAGTGAGATCGAAAATAAAATTTAATCTTTGCGCTAAATTGCAGAATGGTTAAAAAAATCCCCACTTGTTTATCAGGAAATTTCTTGCCATCCAAGGTAGTTTATAATGCTTGCGTAGTACTGGAGCCAGAAACTCATTCAGTGTAGGTAGAAAAAGTCGAATTTTGTATTTCCATCGTGCATCATCACGAATTTGGGGATTCACGTTCTTCACTCTTTCCTCTAATCCTTCTAGAGGTATCTATACTGAAGATTATGTCAGTGCTGAGACAATGAACGATAGCAGTTGTTTTTACGTCGATCTCATTCTGGAACATCTAATCATCTTTCTGGAAATGATTCTCCTGCTGGTGTGAGATAATTGTGGTATAAAATCTCCCCACTATTGTCTTATGGACCTTTGAAAAGATATGATTCATTCTAACAGCCACGAGACCGACTGTCGGGTACTGTAATGTCGGAGATTCACCACCTGACATGCGCCGGATTTATCATTCGGCGTCGATTCCTTTATAAGCAGGGGTGTATCACCGAGAGATCAACTGAATAATCGAAAGGCACTCTGCCACTGATGAACCTGCAAGGGCGAAACGGGCCTTTCTAGTACTATATAAGCACTATACCAGAGCTCACAAAAGTTAAAACATGTTATGTGATTTCCAGATTATTATCTTAATATGAAACTAATGCTCTGAAAGCATAGGGTGAATTGCATTTGGTGCTCAAATGATAGCAGCTTTCAGGACAAATCAATATAATCTCAGTAATATTGAGCTGTAGTAGTTAAGTAAAAACTATGGAATGCAATGCCCACGCAAGTAAGCTATCTTATTTCACGATAAAAGCACAAACTTCTATAGTCAACCGTTTTTGATCAGCCTTAAAGAGGCAAAATTACGATCTACGATGTAGCTGCCTGCGTTATTGAGTCCTCTATCGAAGGTTCATATGAAAGTGAACGTGCGTCAGAAATACAGATGGCCACTTTAGTACCTCGCGATCTTGACAGCTCATTATGGCTCTGTGATTCGGCCTAATTTCATCCCGAGCGCGTGTCAATACCGTTTCAAGCGCGTCTGCGCTAGTATAGCACTAATGGAGATTTCTTCCACCTGTATGAACCACACTGAGTAATTTCATTGGGCTGAGATCCAGCGAGTTTGGAGGCCAAATGTTTCTGCTTGAAATCGTGAGAACAGTTCTTGATAGATGACAATTGCTGAGCTGGTCTGATCGCAGAAGACCAGCCCTGCTAAAGGGTATATCCGTCGGCGCCAAAGTGCTGAGCACTTCAAGGCTTTGTACGCTCCCATAGACTTGCTGCTGATAGCTGGCAGTGTCGATTTTGACGTTTCCGTTGACGAAGACCAGCAGCATCTTTTCGGCGGCCCAAATGCCGGCGCAGACCATCACAGAAACGGGGAAAACGACTGCGGTCCGTGCTTTTTGCTACTGCAGGACTTCTACTAAACCTTCTTGAGAAGTTGACGTCGATTCTTGCGATTGTGAAGTTGTTCGGTTTTGACACGTGCTTGGGACGAATACGGCGGAGACTTATTCGAGCATCTTGTGTATCTCAACTTATGCGATGCATTGATTTTGATCCATAACTTAAGCACATCCGAGGATATACAGGTAAATGAGACAAATTCTAGACCAAAATTGAACAAAGATTTCTACATAATTATCAGAATAATAGAAAAATTTATCATCACTTGTATCACCTCTCGTCCCGTTGATCGTCGACTGACTCGAGCGGGTACTAGCAACACTTCCATTCTTCCTATCGTATCCAAGGCAACCGAGTAAGTCCTTCTCGCTTTAGGAATTCGCTGACCATCATATCTTTCTTCTATACCTTTCGTGGAGAAAGTCAAACCTTTCATGTTAGAAACAGTAACAGTAACAAAGATATATCATATCAATGCTAAAATTAACAAGACAAAAAATTATTAGAACATTTTTCGCAGCCGTGTATATTGTATAAATGTAATGATACAAGTATTGAGAATTGCAAAAGTACTGACAAAAGAACTGTTTGTTCCTTTGTGTCTTAGAGGCTCATGTGGCGCAAGTAGTTAGAGGTGCTCTGCGTTGCACACATGGTCAATGGTTCGATCTCGGGCTCATGGCTCACCAACCATCATTGTCCGGTCGGTAAATTGCTACCAAACTAGTCTCAGACTTGTCTGGGAGGATAACCAGCTCTGGCTTGGTTCAGCGGGAGGCCACCGCGAGTCATTGTAAAGGCCAGATATGCATTTAATCACCTCAAACGAAGTTAAAAATTGAAGACGAATGCATGGCATTGATCAACGCTGAGAGCTTTGTCCTTTACTTGTCTTACTTTCGATGCAAGTATACCTTTGAAAAAAAAATATTGCTTACTATACCAGAAGTGTTGATGATGGATATGTTACCGAATTGCGTCATCGTCAACAGCACGGTCACGGTTATATGCACTGCAATCAATTTCAATGTATTGGGTCGTTCCATTATTTTATGCTCTAGAACAATAAAGATCAAATTTATTCATCATTGTGCATTTTCTTGTGAACACTTTGGTGAACAGCTTTCCTATACTTGCTTCAAGATGGAGTTGTCTTGGGAATAGAGTCGTTACCTATTCACGCACGAATGACGCATAGAAGAAAATGCTAGTGAAGCGGCTCTCTAGATCAATGAAGCTTGAGGAGATGTACAGTTGCAAAAAGAACGGCTAGGAAATGGCTCATGTTCAAATCTGGAGGGAACAGTCTAAAGGATCAGTTGCGCTCGGGCCTACCATAGGAAGCTCCATTATTCTTGAGCGACGCTTCATTAGCATTTTCCCTGATGTACCATTCGTGCACGAGTAGCAAGCAAATTTGTTCCCAGCAAAGCTCTGTCTCAAAGCATGAACACGTAAGTTGTATGCCAAAATGTTCGCAAAAAGTGCGCATTTAAATGATGCCAAATTCAGCAATTTTATTTATTCTGGTCTCGTTTTTTGGTATCTAATGCTCTAGTGTCAAAACGTATGGACTGACCAATTACTCCCTTCAAGCACTTGTCAATCTCAGGAGCCTTCACGGTTTAATTAGCTTTCATTAATATAATTTTGCTCTTAAACGAAGAAAACCTATGTAGACTACAAATATAATAATTGCGAACTGGTCCAGAAACATGTAGCCAAGTTCCGTGAACGGAGCAATGCGAATGTTGCCGTTGGCCCGATTGGATCGCACTTCGTCTCCGCATTTGCAACCGCTTGCCAAGGCGAGAGCTCAACTGTGAAGTGATTGAAACAAACCATGCATTTATTTGAATTATGATTATCACGAATTCAGACAGTCAGTAAACCATGAGGTTACAAATAGGTTCGTGTACAAAAGTAGACCTTATAATGCAACGAGATATAAAGGATATAAGGATAAAGCTCTCGGCGTTGATCAATCCCTGAGGGATGCGCCATGCATTCGACTTCGATTTTTAACTTCGTTTGAGGTGATTGAATGCATATCTGGCCTTTACAATGACTCGCGGTGGCCTCCCGCTGGACCGAGTCAGTGCTGCTTATCCTCCCAGACAAGTCTGAGACCTGTCTGGTACCAATTTACCGACCCCGGAGGGATGGATGGCTTGGTGAGCCATGAGCGCGAGATCGAACCATTGACCTCGTGTGCGACACAGAGCACCTCTAACCACTGCGCCACATGCGCTCGCAACGAGATATATTTGCACACATATTAGCAGACTGAGATTTTCATCTTTGATAAAAGTTCGGAACAAATTTTTAAGTGTATAGTCGGAAAAGACGACCATATCAGGCATAGTCCAAAACACGTTCTTTTCGGAGTTATGATCTCGGAAGGCGGGAATTATAAAGCTAGGGGCGCCGTGCCCGAGTGGTTGTGATTTCGAGTTGCGGCGCGCATGGAGCCAAACTCGAGCTCTCAAAACTCTCCGACAGTAAACAAGAACTGCATATGGAACGCCACAGCTAGGTTATAATCGAAAATGCAAAGAGATATGCTGGACCACTATTCTACGTCATTCAAGAATAAGACGAAAAAAACGAATGCGAGTACTGGGATCCGCACAACGAAAGTTGTGATGACGGTCGTGTAAATATTCAAAGCTAGGTGCATCACACTTAGAGAGGGTCATGTTATCTCAACTCTTTTGGGACCACAATAGTAAAGCAGCGCACAGCGCGACTCGGCAGTCAATGTGCGAATTTTGACATTCCATTAGACCTAAGAGAATTGAGTAGTGAGCAAAAACGCGGCCTCAGGCAGGAATCGAACCCGCGTTTTATCCATACCGGGGACGGTTGTGTTGTGTTGAGGTGTTGAAGAATGAGTGGTGGCGCTGATGTGCCCTGGTGGTGTAGTGGTTGTAGCGAGCGTCCCCGGTATCGATGAAACGCGGGTTCGCTTCCCGCCTGAGGCCGTATATTGCTCACCACTCAATTCTCTTAGGTATATATGTAACTTCATAACACTGCGAAAAAGCAGTGATAATACTAGAATTTGGAGCATTACATTTCACCAGAGTGTTTTCCGTTATGGTTATAATTCTAGGTTTCTTAATACTTTATTACTTCACGATTTGTCCACGCGCTCGCGTGTTTTCGGTGCTATTGCAACTCTTTTGAGTGAACGAAGCTCTCTTTCATTATGAATTATAATGTGGTTGGACTCATGTCAATTGTATAAGTTGAATAAAGAATAATAAGATATAAATCTGTTAGTTATAATATATTTTATTACATACAGTGCTCGAAAAAAAAAACTCGTCAAAAAATAATGTTGCACAGTGCATGCGATGTGTGATCATCGATTATCAAACGTAATAAATCTCGTTTGGGACGAAGCCTTTTTGGTGGAATGAGGTTTTTCCTTAGACATTAGCAATCGTTCTATAGCTCAAACTCGAAGATACAATAATATGCTAACATGGCAAGAAACCCTTCTTGATGAGCTGTAACAACAAAAACAAAATTAAATCACACTAAGTTTCTCTGTTAGCCCGGCTAGGGTACGTGATTAGCTTTTCATTTGAAGTTTCGGTATTTTGATAGCTCATTCTATAAGTAATAGAGCTAAACTCTCTGTTTCAGAAAGTTTCTATAAGGTGCTGTAAGAACAAAAAGAAATTTACGTTATACTCTGGTCTTCTTTGCACATGAGATACATGTATACAGAAAAGCATATAGGCGTGTAGAGGGAATAGTGTTGCTATCAGGAGCATCAAAATAAACTTGAAGGCTTTCTGAGAAAAATATCTGAATGCATCATAGAAAACACGCTTCCTCGAATGGCGCTGCATACACCTTCTTACAACTGATTTCTTATCCGATTCGGAAATATTTTTTGGTTTGTGCAAGTGTAGAAAAGACTTGATTCCATGCTATAGATATTACCATCTCATTTTTTTTCATATGACAAACAAACTCAGTTTGAATTCCAAACCAATAGCTGACTAATGCTTTAACCAGGAACCATCACAACACGGAACTGCTACAAGGAGCTATCACAACACGGAACTGCCTATTAAGGTCCCTCCTCCGTTCATAATTCATAAAAGGAGCGATAATTTGATAGCGCCTACTGCGTTAAGCACTCATGTTTGCTTGGCTTTTTCCAGTCAGCCATTCTGATATTAAGCTCGGTTCTTGAAAGGTCTTTTGTAGCACCGACAAAGAGTATATACGTTCCACACTTGGCGTTCATGCGTTCATTATCTACAAGACTGGCGTCTGTACTTGTCTTTTTGCCAGATTTTCAATGATAATTCAGCAATCAATCAATATGAGAGATCTTAGCAGCTCTGAGAGCGCTATAAGAGCGAAAAAAGACCACGTTTTGCACTCGAAGCAATTAACGCGTTGGCGACGGTTGAAATCGCTGCGAGCGCGCTTATCGTTAATTATCCAAAATCTTTCCTCTATATGAAAGTTTTTTTGCTGCTGCAACGCACTAAGAAAGGCTAAGTAAAGTATCCAAATCGCTGAGATCTAAGCTATCAAGCAATTACAGAAATGTAGAGTTTGGTTTTTTCCAGCGCAAAAGTCGTAGTCGCGATGATTGAAAGTACCTACTAACACAGAATGGATTGTTCCGTGAAAAATAAAATTATACCAAAGAACATTCACTATCATGACCAGCCATCCCGTATATGAGGGCTTTGCCAAAAGAAGTTCCTTAATTTGAGCGGTATACACCAGAAGAGATTCGGCTCGGTCGACAACGGAGGAGAACCAGAATGAGGGCGAACGACTGTGAGCAATGGACTCGAATCATCTGCTCTGAAGAAGACGAAGACTGAAATACTAGGCGAATGAATTTATATCTACCTATATCGTCCTACATGCTTCATCAACAAAAAAGACTTCATCGACGGCCCAAAAGGGAGATGATGAAAAATTCGAGCTTGAAAATACTGCTTTCCGCTTCTTGAAAATTTCCTACTAGGAGATTATCCGAAAGTTTGTGCTTCGTTTTCTTCATCAATGTTTTCCTGACATTTTTTTTCAAAAGTGTACTTGTAACGACGACGCTTTGTCGGTCATGTTTTTTTTTATATTTGGGAAGATTGGGATCTCATAACGCAGCAATTCAAACGACGATAGTAGGGGCCCAGTCTGAACCGTGGCCCGTGAAGGAAGTGACGCATTCAGTGACCTCTGTTCAGCGATCGCTTTCACACTTCTCGTTCTCATTCAACATTTAACTCATATTTGCCCTCACCGATTGAATTCCCCCTGCTTCTAAAGGACAGTATGTTATAGAAGTAGCGTCAAAAAAATTCGCTTCGCAGTAAACGGATAGGCCAATTTTGAAGCTCGTTAAAGAGTCTTGAGAGCTGTGAAAACATATGACTCATTGTCGCCGCTGACTACTTCTGCTGAGTGATGAAACCCATATTGCCTTGTGAATAATCTGATTCAAAGTAAGGAGAAGAATATTGCGCTTTAGGTGTAGAAAAGTTTTATAGCTATGACAAGATTTTACGGGCCTTCTGATTTTGCTGCTATCCACCATTTTGGCGGTGTTAGGATGTGGTGTAATGCCACAAGGTCAAGGTAAGGATCCAAAGTTTTTGTTTTGGTACAAATTTTTGCAATTTCAAATACAAAGTTGTGACTGTTGTTAAGAAATAAGGTACGCAAAATGCATCACCACTCATAATCTGTTGTGGTCCGAGTACAATGGCTGAGAAATTTTGAACTTTGTGTAGAAAAAAAAGAAAAAGAAGGAAGAGAAAATCAGTCCTAAGCAGTACATTCAACAAATTTAGACTTTGAAGACTCATCTCGCTCAGCAGAGGCGAGATTGGTAATAGAGTAGTAGAAGCAGTAGTAGTAATAACAGTTCGACGGCTTCGTCTTTCGGCGTATGGACCTACGCTCCAATACACTGTTCAAAATTTGGTGCATAATTGATGTCTTTTCTGTCGCTTTCAGAACAACTCAAAATTAAACGGAGAAAAAGTGCCATGCTTCGCGTGATAGCAACTCAGTCGTCCTTCCGGTCATTTCTGGACTTTTCGTCTTGAAGCTTCAAGATTAGTTTTATGAATGAACCGGAAGGATGAATGCGTGACTATTACGCTAAACATGGTATCTTTTCTCCGTTCGATCTTCTGACCAGACCTAGGATCGGTATAAAACGCATCGATAACTCACCGAATCATGTGAACAGTTCAATACAATGTGCGGTAGGCTCCATAGACGGTGAAGTCGGCGAAACGCCAGTCATTAAACTGCACTACTACCACTATCATTACCAACCTTGCATCTGCTGATTAAGATGTCTTCAAAATCTACTTAAATCAATCTTGGATACCAAGATTCACAAAAAAAAGTCGATCTCTTGAATCATCATGCGATCATTCAACACAAAAATTAGGTTTCAATTTTTCACGCTAAAGTCTCGAAATTTGTTGCAGCTATGACAAGGAACTTCAGATCTGAGCGGCTTCACATTGCCAGTGAACATGGTTTTTACTGCTTCCGCCGGTGCTCCAGTTCAGTTTTCTGGTATCGCAACTACTTCAGACACAGCTAAATCATTCGTATCTCGCCTTGTATTACAAACAGTAGGTTAATCGAGTCTCCGATTGTAGGTTTTCCGTCTTTCTATGAGGTGAAGCAAGTAAGTCTAAGTTTTCTGAGATTTGACACGATCGAAATTTCATGGTTTGCTAAGGTAGCTGAATATAACCTAATCAATGAAACTTTGTTCCCACAAAACCCCATTAGTCAATTGGGAATCTAATTTTTGAGGTGACTGAAGTTCTCGAACAGCAAGGTCGTAGCGCAGGCCTACCTGATGATATGATCTCGAACATATTGGATCAGCTCACTGTTCAGATTAATTACGATCCATTTGAGTGCAAGACTCTTTCTGCTTTGAAACCAGGAGAGACGATGGGTAGGTTTTCAACCTATAAGATAAGCTTGTGTGACTCCACATATGGGCTTATAGGCACTTAAAATAACTACGCAATGCACAATATAGTTGCGGAAAGACTATTACAAAAGGTGCAAATGGCTTATTGTGAATTGATATCTGTGCAATCAGGCGCATTTCGTAAATGTCCGAAGTTTTTAGAGGTAATGCATGCATTAGATTACTTTATATTATCACTGTTTTTACTGAATATTAGCATCAATCAAAAGTAACAGTAGTCTGCCCGGATACAGGCGGTTTATCCATTCAGTACTTGTGAGACCCTATTTTGATTTCTTTGTGTCAACTCAGAAACCTTAACTTTTTAAATCAGCAAAATCAGTTTTGGACTTGCTAGAAATCTCCCTCAAATTCAGACGTTGTTGACTGCTCAGATAGGATGATTTAGGAACAGAGTTCTTCACGATTTCAGAGAGAGTTGATTCGGCTGACCAATGACAACTTCGTGACAAAGAGAAAAACCTCAAGTATCAGCCGAGATTATAAGGAAACTAATAGACTACCGTAGACGATGTGTAGTGAAAACATCAATAGAATGAAAAAATTATAGATTTCGAGTGTGTTGTCGGATCGCGTGAAAAGTGGGTAGTAGTGACTTGTAGAGTGCTTGGCATAGTTTATAATTAGTAGTCGTGTCATTCTTTTCAGCCAAAGCGGTCGGTTATAAGCTTTAAGAGCGCATGTGGCGCAGTGGTTAGAGGTGCCCCGCGTCACACACGAGGTCAATGGTTCGATCCCGCGCTCATGGCTCACCAAGCCATCCATCCATCCGGTGTCGGTAAATTGGTACCAGACTGGTTTCAGACTTGTCTGGGAGGATAAGCAGCACTGACTCGGTTCAACGGGAGGCCACCGCGAGTCATTGTAAAGGCCAGATATGTATTCAATCACCTCAAACGAGGTTAGAAATTAAAGACGAATGCATGGCGCATCCCTCAGGGATTGATCAACGCCGAGAGCTTTATCCTTTATAAG